TTGCCCAAGGTCATCCAGTCAGGTGCAATTGGAGGAGTGGGGAATCAAACCCGGTTCTCCCAGATTAGAGTTTGCGCACTTAACCACTACACCAAACTGGCTCTCAAAAGTAAACTGTATTGAATAAAGAATATATAAGCCGTATGTCTGGTGTTTATAATTAACAAATACAAAATTCCACTGATTTTATAACATCCACGATAGGTGCAATATCAAATTTCCACACACACTGGTAAAGTTCGAAGAACGAAGTGAGCAATGTGTTTCAGATAGATGATCCAGAAATGACAAGTTCCAAGCAGAATCAGGAAACCGCAAAAGAACTTCTTCTCTAAGGAGCGCGCTGGCTAACGACTGTCCCGTTTCACATTGAAACTTTTTCAAAGCAACACCAACACTCCATTATTTTCTGCAGCAAATCTCAGAAGAGAACTCTTCATAAAGTTTCTATATGATGCATTTCCATGCAGCCATTCCTCGAGACTGGCTCAAGGGGCCTTCCCTTGAGAATCGGCCCCAGGAACAGTGTGGGAGGTAGGGTTGGAGGTTTCTATATTAGAGACATTTCCATGCAGCAATTCCTTGAGATTGGCTCAGGGGGATTTCCCATGAGAATCAGCCCCAGGAACAGTGTGGGAGGTAGGGTTGCCAAACTCCAGGTGGCACCTGGAGATCCCCTGCTGTTACAATCGATTTCCAGATGACCCAAATCAGTTTCCCCTGGAGACAAAAGGCTGCACTGGAGGGTGGACTGAGCCCGTGATCCCTCTAAGATGAGCGAGTGTGAGCTAGCTCACAGTTTTTTTAGCCTCCGGCTCACACCTTTCTGCCTCCGCTCAGGAAGGAGGGCTCCAGAGCAAACTGATTTATGCAGTAGCCAAATCGCTCGCTCATAACTTATTGGGATTCTTTTTAAGTAAGTCAGCAGAGTATTAAGAGACTGAGTCCATGGTGTGTTTAAAATATACAAGTTTACTATAAACCTAACATGGGGAAAAGGTACACAGGATATAAAATAACAAAGAGCTAATATGGCTACGTCCTTACAGCTAAAGGTAAAACGGGAAGAGAATGGCGTCTCCTGCTCAGTCAGAACAAAGAGAGGAAAGAGAAGCCAATATGCTAAATACCTGACACCTTGGTTTCCAATCAGACTAGCAAATTAGCTCCAAAGTTCCCGGGCATCCTATTGTCTAAACAGATTGGTTACAAACAAACATGTGACTTAACAAACATCATTAACCTTGTAAATACTGAAGTGTTTTCAACTCGTAATACCCAACAGAGAGGCTTACAAACTCCTTTCCCTTCCCCTCCCCACAACAGACACCCTAAGAGGTGGGTGGGGCTGAGAGAGCTCTATTTGAGGGCTGCTCATGAGAGAACAGCTCTGAGAAAACTTGTGACTGACCCAAGGTCACCCCAGCAGCTGCACGTGGAGGAGTGGGGAATCAGACCCGGTTCTCCCAGATTAGAGTCCACGCTCCTAACCACTACACCAAACAGACACAAAGATTCCATATTTGCAGCCCCCCCTGCCATTCAGTTGTATTGGTCATGCTGACCGTAGGAAGGAAGGCTATATGTTACTTCTTTTTCTGTGAGGACCATTTCTTGTATCTTGGGAGAAAGAGGATGGAGAGAAATCTTATCTCCCACTCCTGCAACCTGGGCCCATATATAATATCTAGTAGAAAATAATTCCCACTGAGCAAAACAGCATTTCTCCCAGAGTGCTCATCTAGTGTTTTTAGAAAAAGAAGACGAAGAGATTGGATTTATACCCCGCCCTTCGCTACCCAAAGGAGTCTTGGAGCGGCTTACAATCTCCTTTCCCATCCCCTCCCCACAACAGACACCCTGTGAGGCAGGTGGGGCTGAGAGAGCTCTTCTGAGGACTGCTCATGAGAGAACAGCTCTGAGAGAACTTGTGACTGACCCAAGATCACCCAACCAGCTTCATTTGAAAGAGTGGGGAATCAAACCTGGTTCTCCAGATTAGGGGCCACTGCTCTTAACCACTAGACCAAGCCGGCTTTAGAAAGCGGACAGTGCTAAGTGGACCTTTTGCCCAGTGAGGCTTCCGACGGGCTGTGCGGATTAAAAGGCATCCTGTTAAACAAAGCTTCTGCCTGAAATTTGAAAGAGCCACAATTAGAAGAAGAAGAAGAAGAAGAAGAGATTGGATTTATATCCCGCCCTTCACTACCCAAAGGTGTCTCAGAGCGGCTTACAAACTCATTTCCTTTCCCCTCCCCACAACAGACACCCTGGGAGATAGGTGGGGCTGAGAGAGCTCTTCACAGAAACTGCTCTTTTTCAAGAACAGCTCTTATGAGAACTATGGCTTGCCCAAGGTCATCCAGCCAGGTGCAAGTGGAGGAGTGGAGAATCAAACCCGGTTCTCCCAGATTAAAGTCCACGCACTTAACCACTACACCAAACTGGCTCTCAATTAGAGTTAGATACAACTCCGCTCTCTGATCTTTTGTGGTTGGCCCCGCCCTGTGCGGCAACCATTTTGTATTTGGCTCCGCCTTCTGCGGCAGCCATTTTGTGACTGTGCCCACCGCCCCGTGTCAGAGTTCCAATGGTGGCCAAAAATGTTGGGGACCCCTGGCAAAGAGGGACCTTTGGCCTGATTCTTCGTCTCCTTTTGGTATTCATAGGCTACGGTCCCGGAACGGCAATGGCGGAAGAACAAAGACGAAGGCAGGACAAAGGTCACTAAGGAGGGTTGGAAACCTGGCAAGCGGGCTGTGCCACTGGATTGGGAAAGGGATGACTCACACCCAGCAGCTCCCATGGGCCGGCCCTGTGAGTCTTTAAACCCGGAGGAAGTCTCGATTGGAGCGCATAGCAACCTGGCAGCGCTCAGGAGGTTGACGGTGCTTCCGCTGCATCACACCGGAGCCAATTTTCCTGTGCATGAACATTGGCTAATTAAGCATGGCTAATTAAGGAGCCGCGGCAATTAACGCAACAGAAATGTCGAGGCCTTTGGTGGCGGTGGCCAGAATTGCTTAATGGCATGTCCCCGAGAGAAAGGCCAAGAGCTGGCTCACGGCAAGCGGCTCCCAAGAGACGGAGAGACTGCCCTGGGCATGCTTGACAGGAGTCTATCCACTGTGTGATACAGACAGCGGGAGCCAAATGAAACAGGGCAGAGACAGAGGCCGAGGCCTTCATAAGAACGTCAGAAGAGCCCTGCTGGAGCAGACCATCTAGTCCAGCATATCTGTTTCTCACAGTGGCCAACCAGTTCCTCTGGAGGGCCAAAAACAGGGTATAGAAGGTGAGTCCTTCATAAGAACACCAGAAGAGCCCTGCTGGAGCAGACCAGTGAGGGTCCATCTAGTCCAGCATCCTGTCTCACACAGTGGCCAACCAGTTCCTCTGGAGGGCCAACAACAGGGTATAGAAGGTGAGGCCTTCGTAAGAACATCAGAAGAGCCCTGCTGGATCAGACCAGTCCATCTAGTCCAGCATCCTGTCTCACACAGCGGCCAACCGGTTCCTCTGGAACGCCAACAGGGTATAGAAGGTGAGTCCTTCATAAGAACACCAGAAGAGCCCTGCTGGAGCAGACCAGTGAGGGTCCATCTAAGTCCAGCATCCTGTCTCACACAGCGGCCAACCAGTTCCTCTGGAATGCCAACAACAGGGTATAGAAGGTGAGGCCTTCATAAGAACATCAGAAGAGCCCTGCTGGATCAGACCAGTGAGGGTCCATCTAGTCCAGCATCCTGTCTCACACAGCGGCCAACCAGTTCCTCTGGAACGCCAACAACAGGGTATAGAAGGTGAGGCCTTCATAAGAACATCAGAAGAGCCCTGCTGGATCAGACCAGTGAGGGTCCATCTAGTCCAGCATCCTGTCTCACACAGCGGCCAACTGATTCCTCTGGAATGCCAACAACAGGGCATAGAGGCCGAGGCCTTCATAAGAACATCAGAAGAGCCCTGCTGGATCAGACTGGGGGTCCATCTAGTCCAGCATCCTATCTCACACAGTGGCCAACTAGTTCCTCTGGAGGGCCAACAACAGGGCATGGAGGTTGAGGCCTTCATAAGAACTGAGAGCCAGTTTAGTCTACTGGTTAGGAGTGTGGACTCTAATCTGGGATAACCGGGTTTGATTCCCCACTCCTCCACATTCAGCTGCCATTGTGACCTTGGACAAACCATAGTTCTGATAAGAGCTGTTCTTGAAAAAGAGCCGTTTCTGTCAGGGCTCTCTCAGCCCCACCTACCTCCCAGGGTGTCTGTTGTGGGGAGGGGAAGGGAAAGGAGTTTGTAACCCACTCTGAGACTCCTTTGGGAAGTGAAGGGCGGGGTATGAAACGAACCTCCTTCTCCTCCTCTTTTTGGCTGTCTTCTGTCTTTCCAGGGCTAATAAAGTGGAAAAAAGGACTACATCTCAACCAGCCTTCCCCCCCACACCAAAGGCCCCCTCCCCACGGCTGTGACTCCCCTTAAAAATCTCACAAATCTACCAGCGTCTCAACCAGTAAGGCCGTCTGTGGTTTATTTGTTAAACTAAAACGTCCCCAAGTCCTCCCAGGAAAACAAACCTCTGGATTATTTGAAGTACCCCCTTTTTGCATGTTTTCCTGCCCTCTGATATCCTGCTTGAGGTCCAGTCTTTTACGGGGAGGTGAAAAAAAATAACAAACCCTTGAGCATTGCTTGACTTCATGTCTGCAAGAAAACAAAGAAACCCACCTTGTATTTTTAGAAACAAAAACCTGGCCTTCGGTGTGTTTGGGGCACCGTGTGCTATTTCCCAAAGGAGAGCATGGAAATCCATCCCGGAAGCCCGTGCCCAGAGAGACAGCATCTCTTTGAAAAAGATGCTGAGCCCGCGGCGCCCATTATCCAAAATCGCCCTCCTAGCGACTGGGTAATAGGTACCCAGCAACCAGCAATTTCCCCCAGACAGAAGCAAAGCTGCACGTGACTCTGGGTGTTTTAATCTCATTTTAGCAAACTGCTGTCCATGCTTGCCTCTCTCCTCCTCCTCCTGGCTTCCTGAACCGCCTGGGATGTGACCTGGAAACGGAACAGATGCGGGGGTGGCCTCTGGAGGTCGGGAAACCCCGGCGGGCCCAAAGTCTCCAATTTGCCCTTGCTGCCTTGCTTCTTTCCTGAACGGGTCCTGCTTCTCCTTTCATCCAAATCTTTCCTCCAAGCTCACCTTTTGTCTTCAGATCATCTTCCTTCATTCTCATTCCACCTATCCTGTTAGCCTTTCGGCTAAGATGCCTCAGGATAAGAACATCAGAAGAGCCCTGCTGGATCAGACCAGTGGTCCATCTAGTCCCACATCCTGCCTCACACAGTGGCCAACCAGTACCTAGGGAGGGCCAACACCAGGGCAGAGAGGCCGAGGCCTTCATAAGAACATCAGAAGAGCCCTGCTGGATCAGACCAGTGGACCATCTAGTCTAGTGTTCCATCTTACACAGTGGCCAACCAGCTCCTCTGGAGGGTCAACAACAGGGCATGGAGGCCGAGGCCTTCATAAGAACATCAGGAGATCCCTGCTGGATCAGACCAGTGGTCCATCTAGTCCAGCATCCTGTCTCACACAGGGGCCAACCAGTACCTAGGGAGGGCCAACAACAGGGCAGAGAGGCCGAGGCCTTCATAAGAACATCCAAAGAGCCCTGCTGGATCAGACCAGTGGGCCATGTAGTCCAGCATCCTGTCTCACACAGTGGCCAGCCAGCTCCTCTGGAGGGTCAACAACAGGGCATGGAGGCCAAGGCCTTCATAAGAACATCAGGAGAGCCCTGCTGGATCAGACCAGTGGTCCATCTAGTCCAGCATCCTGTCTCACACAGTGGCCAACCAGCTCCTCTGGAGGGTCAACAACAGGGCATGGAGGCCAAGGCCTTCATAAGAACGTACGAAAAGCCCTGCTGGATCAGACCAGTGGGCCATCTAGTCCAGCATCCTGTCTCACACAGTGGCCAACCAGTACCTACGGAGGGCCAACACCAGGGCAGAGGCCAAGGCCTTCATAAGAACATCAGAAGAGCCCTGCTGGATCAGACCAGTGGTCCATCTAGTTCAGCATTTCATCTTACACAGTGGCCAACCATTTCCCCTGGAGGGCCAACAACAGGGCGTAGAGGTCGAGGCCTTCATAAGAACACCAGAAGAGCCCTGCTGGATCAGACCAGTGGTCCATCTAGTCCAGCATCCTGTCTCACACAGTGGCCAACCAGTTTCTCTGGAGGGCCAGCAACAGGGCAGAGAGGCCGAGGCCTTTCTCTGATGTTGCCTCCTGCCTCTGGGATTCAGAGGCTTAGTGGGTTCCTCACCGAGGAACCAAGTTTCCACTGCAAACTCCAAGCACATATCTGCTTGTCCGTTCCTAGAGTGGACCTGAAAACAACATACTGTGTTAACTACAAAGCTAGTCCTGTGAATGGTTCAATGTGCCTCAAGATTTCGGTGCACTACACACTGACCTGCGGGCAAAGGCAGAAGATGGGGGGTGTCTCCGCCCTGGCATACACAGGGAAAAGTGGTCTGGACAATCACGCAACTGATTCCGCACTGTGGGGGAAGCCATGATTGCCGGTAAGTCCTTGTTTTCTCCTTACAGGTTGGTTCGGATGACCCCCTTTCACCATTTGCGCCCTCACCCTCCACATGCCTGACCTCGTACCTGGGAGCCCTCAGTCCCGGGCTGCTGAAGGAGTTTAACGGTCCTCCCTCCCGCCGACCTCTGGCTCCGCCCATCGTGCCAGGTCAGACTGGCCCCCGAGGTCCTCTGCAGCCGGTAGTTCAGGTTCTCCGCCGACACGGTGTGTTCTAGCAGGTTCTGGCAAAAGTTGAAGTGAGCAGCCGCAGCTGTGGGGTGGGAAAGAATGGAGCTGAAAACCGGTTGCCCACACCAGTGCTGATATGAACAGCAACCAACCACGACACCAACCGTAGCACAGATCGCTCAAAGTGTTTCGCACACAGGACCTTGGGTTAGAGTTGCCAACTCCAGCCTGGGAAGTTTCTGGAGATTTGGGGGCGGTGCCTGCCGAGGTGGGGAAAACAGGGGAGGGGGTTTCGCCTTAGAATCTATGGTATACCATAGAGACTGCCCTCTGAAGCTGCCATTTTCCCCTGAGGAACTGATCTTTGTGGGTTCGAGTTCAGTGGTCATGCCCTGACTTAGATGGTCTAGGCTACCCCAGTATCGTCAAATCTCAGAAGCTAAGCAAGATCAGCCCTGGGGTTAGTACTTGGATGCAGGGGTCATTAGCATAGCTCATTAGCATAACTTATTTGCATATGCCACCCCCCCTGACATCACCGGAAGTGTGTCAGAAGGCAACCCCCACCGCTCAGGCTCCACTGGACTGTTTTGGACCGGGGGGGCTGGGGGAGCTCTGCAACTTACCTGGCTGCTTCTTGCTCTGACTGAGGGCTGCTGGGAGCAGGGGGCGGGGCTTGTTGCATGTGCCCGCCCCCTGGGCTCTTTACTGCCGGAGCTCCGCTCCTGTGCGCTCCTGCAGGAAATGACCCCTGCTTGGATGGGAGACCACCAAGGAAGTCCAGGGTTGCTACGCAGAGGCAGGCAATGGCAAACCCTCTTTGTCTCGGAAACCCCTATGGAATCGCTATGTCAGCTGGGACTTGATGGCAAAAAAAAAGAAAAGTAATTCCAGGAGAACTCTGGGCCCCACTTGGAGGTTGGCACCCCTACCTTTGGTTATCGTTACAAAAGGGGTGCCACCTGAGGCTTCCACTCCCAGTTGCAATGGGCAGAATTCCTAATACATAAGAACATCAGAAGAGCCCTGCCGGGTCAGACCAGTGGTCCATCTAGTCCAGCCTCCTGTCTCACACACTGGCCAACCAGTTCCTCTGGAGGGCCATCAACAGGGCAGAGAGGCCAAGGCCTTCAGAAGAACATCAGAAGAGCCCTGCCGGATCAGACCAGGGGTCCATCTAGTCCAGCCTCCTGTCTCACACA